GCCCCTCCATTTTTAGGTAAATATTTTTATGAAAAAGTATAGTCTTATACAGGGAAAAATACAGTATTATCTAATGCTTAATAAAAATTGACATGCTTAAAAAAAAACAAAAAACAACCATGTAGTAAAAGCCAGTGACCCTAAAGCATTGTGGTAAACCAGTCCTTGAGATAGAAGATCTGGTCCATCTGGAAGAGCCAAAAGGAATTTCTGCCATAAGCTTAGTCAGATTGGAGTACCACATCCACCCGGGCCAGATCAGCGCTATGAGGATCACCAAAATGCATTCAATCTCGATCCTGCAAAGACAAGGCAGGAGTTGTACAGGAGGAAAGGCGCAGATCAGGCTGTACTGTTCGGTGTCAGGCGAGTCAGTTTGTCGAGATTAGAGGCACAATGACAGAATTGCATTGTTGGGTCTGGAGTGCAAGCAAGCAAATGGAACTGCAAGTCTGGGAACAGAGATTGAGAAGTTATAAATGGGGAGGGTTGGAGGTGGGGGACTCTGGCTTGGGCTAGGTTTAGGATGAGACCCAGATACTTCAAGCAATGTGTCCTTCCAACACTGACTTCTTAAAATTCAGGATCCAACAGAACCCTTTTAAGATCTGGTCGAAGGGTTCCCTCAACAGGAGGTTGTGCAGATATCCCATAATGAGAATACTCTGGGAGTGTAGCAAGGCTACCACAGGTGCTAATACCTTGGGGAAGACAGATCAAACGGTAGGGCTAGAAACTGGTAGTTTTGTGTGCACACAGCAAAACAGAGGTGGTCTTTATGCAAGTATGGCATCCTTCATGTCCACAGAGGCTATACAAAGTCTACCTAAGGAAGGCAGGTTATGCCAAATCTGGTGCAATCCATGTAAATTTTCTGTACTCCAATTAAGACATTTAAAGCCTTCAGATCCAAGATGGGGCACATACCCCATTTTGGTTTTGAAACAGTAGAACTAACTACTGGCTCCTTGGTTCAAGAGTCTAAGTCTGGGTGAGGACACAGGCAGTCTGGGTAGCATTAAACGAGAAGGGAGCAGATAGTGGGATTCTAGCTTGTAGCCCTCCATAAACCACTTCTCTTACCCAAGAATCTGAGATGCTTTCTGACCAGGCATCCATGAAGGCCAAAAGATGCCCCCCTACTCTGGAAAGGAGGGGGATCCCTTCATGCAGAGGGGAGCTTGTATGAAGATTTGGGAGATTTAAGAGGGTTTGCGATTTAATTGGGTCCCTGGCTTGGTTCTGGCCTTGGAAGTTGAAGCCTGGGAGTAATGAAAAGGAACTCTTCTTATCTTAAGAAGGAGAAGGAGTCTTTGAAGATTGTGGTTTAGGCTAACTTTGCTGAGGCAAATTAGTACTTTTATCTCAGTAGCATCTTTTACAAGGGTGTCCATAGAGGCAGAAGGTGTTTACCACCAAAAGGCACGTTTAGCAAGTGTTTCTTACAATGCTGTTCTGCAGGTCAACATTGCAACTAAAGAGTGCATATATTGCATATTCAAGGATAGAAGACTCATTTGGGAAATAAAAATTACAATGTCAGCTAATTCATCAACAAAATAGTGTAGGTCTGAAGGCATACGTTCCAAGCGATCTACAGATACAGGATCAGTAAGGATAGTAGTGGGATTAGACATCAGTTTATTCCAATACCACACACTAACATTGTGTAGGTTCAGTAGGTTGCATAGCAGGACTTGCTACTGAAAACATTGCTATGGAAAAGATTTTCAAACATCTGTCAATGGGATCCTTAAAATGTATTTCCACTTTTGCAGTCAAACTGTTAGAAATAAAAAAATAAATACATTTATATATATTTTTTCTTTTTTCTAGGATTGCACTGATACCATTTTTCCCAGACCAAGTACAAGTACTCACAGATACCAATTATTGATACCTTTTTTTATGGTCACGTGGTCACAAACAATACAGAGTAATGATTTCAGGACAGTGGTGGAGCGCCAGGGCCCAGTCGCAGCTGCACCCGCTACAACCCTAGGAGCTCTCGTAAAAATGCCAAGTATCGGCACTGGTATCTGAACTGGTATCTGTGCACCCCTAAATTAGTTGTAAACTAGATTACAAACTGCCTGTCCTAACAAAGGGCAAATAATTAGAAGTCTGGCTTCCAACTTTGCATATTAATGAGGGAAAGCTCATATGCAGTGCAAATCTGCTCCAGATTTTCTGTGCTCCTGTTTTAATAAATTTCCCCCAGGGTATCTATGAGGGACACTACAGGCCATCCCAAACTATCAGAAGATCACAAACTGTTCCCTTTGCGCCTGGGATTCAAAAAGTGGCACTGCTTAAAGGAGGAAACTTCACTTTGAACACCAGGTGACAAGCCTTTGTTACTTGCAATCCAGCTGTCAAGAGCAGAATAGGTTCAAATTTCAGGAGGTGGCCCAGTCACTGTAGGCGGCAGCAAGGACTAACCTAAATGAAAGATCATGTCTCTTGCAATAGGTGCAAGAGGGAAGCACCAACCTCACAATGAAAATGCAGGAAAAGAGTGAGGAGTGTGCACACACGGCCCTCCAGTTAGTGATGCACAATTTAATAGCCAGGCATCATTGTTGGAAACCAACAGAAAAGGAGGATAATAATGGCACTTAATACAAATACCTTTAGTAGATCTTGATACTTGGTCCACACAGCATAGAATCTTCAAAAACTGGGTTACACCAGAAGCTATGCCATGGATCTGGAACTAGATAGCGCTCTGTGGCTAAATACAGTAGGTATAGGTCTAGAAAAGCGCCACAAGCAGAGAGCAGTGTCCAAACATCACATATTCCATGCAGGCCCAGCAATCTTCAATTTAACAGGATCTGGGTATTGCCCACAAAGCTATTGCTGAGGATAAGCCAATCAAGATATCTGCATAAAGAGCCCAGCACAGCAGCAGGCAGATGTAGTCTTGATTAAGGGCTTGTTTACACATCATGTCTGGACCATATATGGAGCAGATCTCCAAACGCGGTGCGTTCTAGCCGCTTTCTTCTTTTTTTACGCTTAAAATAGGTTTTCAGGTGCAGTCCAGTGCGTTTGCATGCGTTCCAGTGCATTCTGGACCAGACGAAATGAGCAGTATTTTTTTTTGTTTGTCTGGACTGGAATGGACTGCTCTGGTGTGAACAGAGCCCAGAAATACCATAGGGATACATTTTTTGGTCCGGGAACAAACAGTTCTGGTCTCGACATGATCGGGACAAGGTGTGAACAAGCCCTGAAGTAAAAAAAAAATGACCTCAAAAAAAGAAAATGACAAGTAAAATGGTAAAACGTTTCTCAATAGAGAAAAGACCTCCATACTCCTAGGACACTAGCACAAAACTGAATCATGATGGTAGTGGGAAGGGTTCTCGACAATAGCTATTGTTGTTTCCCAATGTCCAATTTGTCCTGAGCATGGCAATATAACCCAATTGTCTCAGAATAACTGAATGAGAAAGAAAACAAATTTCCTGGATTTGCCAACTCACAAAATGCCTTAAATTTAATTAAAAACATACACATTTTAATGCAAATACAATACAATTCCCATCAGATAAAAAAAAGATGGGACCATGATGACTTAATAAATAATTATATGGTAAAAATTGTATGCGCGAAAGGTTAAAAATGAAGACATCTAAAATTCAAAATAAGTGAAGTAATTTTTTTTTTTTAATTATATGATTTTTTTTTTTAAATACATACATTTTTTACAGTCACAATGGCTTACATGCCTCTATGTGACAACAAACCCAAGTGGTATTTTTTTTTTTTTTTGACGTAGCAGTGGTCTAGATATAATGCCATTTACTTTTCTCCTTTTACCCAATGCATATAAGGGGCATATTACCTGATCTGCAGTTTCCCAGGCTGGTGCCACCAGTTCTCTCTAGCAATGATCTCAGAAGCACTTACAGATTCCAGATTCAATTTACACAGTTCACTAACCTTGCACTCTCCATCCTGAAATAGCCTGCTAAATTCCATAGCTTACAAAGTAAGCAGATCAGCCCAGGCTTCAAAAAGGGGTGATCGGCACTTTTAGGCTGTAAAAATGGTCACTTTTACATTAATAAAATAAAGCTGGAAAAAAAAAAAAAAACTTCACAGCTACTATTGTGGCTGTGAGCTTTTTTTGAAAACCTTAAGACTTCTCCCACTATAATATAGCAGTGAATTGTAGGGTTAACACAACATTCTGCAGAAACACCATCAAGACACAAAAAAACATCAATTAAAAAATGTAACTCACTTTAAAAACTTTAGAAAAAACAAATAACTAAGAATACACTGTCTTACTTAGCAAGTGTTCCTTGAAATTACCTTTAAATCATTTTAAAACTATCTCCAGGAACACCTTGCTGCTAACCTGGCTGTCAAATTTCCATCATGTCCAATTTTAAAATGTACATAAAACATGTACTGAGAATGTACTGAGAATTTGATGAACATGCAGAATGAAGAATTTAACAGTACAGTTAATTTATGAAAATCAGGGACAAAAATAAATCAAATGTAAAATAAAGGGTGTAGTAGAGCTTCTGGCCATTGCACACTTAGTGTGTCATGTAATAGACAGTAAAATGAATGTAAGCCTCAGAGAGCAACTGCAACTCTTCTTTACTATACAACCATCAGCAACATTAGTGGGTCGGTGACAGCATTAACAAAACAAAAAAAACCTGCAATTTTCATGAACCACTAACAGAAGATGATTTAGAGAGATGCATGTATGCATCAAAGATGATGGTCCAGACCACAGGCTGGTTAACTGCTGTATGCAAAGTATACAACTGAGCCACGATAAGGAGGTTGTAGATGGTATATATTCTTTTTATCATCATTAATAAACAAAACAAAAAAAGAAACACCAGACATTCAACAGCAAGCAACAAAATAGAGGTGGCCGTGAAGTATGCAGGAAGGTGTTGCAACCCCTCGCCAAAGTCCTCGTAGGATCGCACCAAGTGTGAGGAATTCCCTCGATTACTTTCCAGCCCAAGCATTCTGTCACAATCCACCAAACAGGAAAATGAAAAGTCATCTGCGTATATCTGATCTCATTCAAGATTTCCAAGTGGAATTAGTAAGATTTGCCAGATCATTTTTTGCCTTTAATGCCATGAGACTGAAAACACCACTAGTATTCAAATCTGAAGCATTACTATTTACATGGAAATTAATTTTTTCAGGTGTCACAGTAAGATGATGTTTAGTTTCTGGCAAGGTACAATTTTCAAGCTGAAATTAAGTTGGCCAAAACTTAAAGGCTAACCAAATGTCAGAAGAGATGTATAATAGCATGACGGGGTCACAGACCCCCAATGAAAACCTGTAATGCCAGCTCACTTGACTTTCCTGCTAAAAAGTACCTTTCCTTGGGCACATGTATGACTTCTTTAGGTAGCCAAAGGAAAAGGGAACATGCCTGAAATCCTCTGAACAAGTTTTATTATCCATCCTATGTATAGAAGATAATTTCAGGGATTTGTCCATCCTCAACTGACGTCCCGTTGTTATTTCCGGCAGCATAGCAAAATGTGAAGCAGGTCTTGGTACCAGTCGTAGAAGATTCATGAATAACCTTTCGCAGTCCTTTTGTACCATAGTGAGAATCCGGTCCCTAAAATAGAGTTAAGACATTGTTTACTGCAAATTGCAATGTCAGCAATATTATACACAACAACAAAAATCACAGGGAAATCTTAAAGCAGTACTCAAATGTCACACTCTTCATCATCCCTATGAAAACGTTAAAGCTCAACCCCAGTTTGGATAGAGTAAAAAAAAAGACTGTTTTAATTCCAATCTGGGTCCCAACTGGGAGATTTCCCATTATTAATTGTCCATCGTGTCAAAGAGAATAAAATGGTAGACACCCACATGGCACACAGTGTCTGTGGCTGCTTACCAAATACCTTACTTTTACCTAGGATATGCGAGTAGTATCCTTTTTTAATAAAGTTTAGTATCCTTTTAAAACCATCTGCACTACAAGTTTCCGTTTTTTATTTGATGCATGGGCCATTCGGATGAATTGTCTGCTTCCAATTCCTGAGACTGCAAGAGAGTCTGTACCTAAGAGGAGGTAATCACTGGGATCTATACGGCATCAGGTGCTTCCTCTACCTGGTTCGCATTAGATGAAAAGCACATACAGACCCTGGTGGGTCTCTGCTAAAGGTGAGGTGCATTCCAGAAGATTTATCTGTTGCTGGTCACAGGAGACTGAGTCTATTCTATATCCATTGTTTTATCTTCTATTTACTTAATGGACTATTGAAGATCCAGGATCATGGACATTTTTTAAACATTTATTATTTTCACTGTAGTGCATGTTATACACATGCATTTTTCTAGTTGTTATTCTTTGCACATTGCATCACATTGATTCACAGTTAATATTTAGTGCACTTGAATTTTCATCATGGATATTTTGTAGCAATTACATTTACACTAAGGTGCATGTTATATACAGGCATTTCTTCATTCATCTCTTACACATTGTATCACATTACTTCAAGGTCAGTATATACTATAGCTGACACTTTTGCGGTTTCATTCATACAGTGCGGCTTTTACCATTAATTTCATACGATATATCTGACCCCACAGATTTCAGCTGCTGCTTAACTTGATTAGAGTAGTGGCGCGAGGTTTCACATTATTCACTTTTGTATCGTTCTATTTTTATATCACTTTGCAGCCACTATGGATATTTTTGACTATAGGGAAAATAGAACAGTTAATCTAGAGGAAGTTTTTGGTTACACTGAACAAAAAAAAGTTTAATGACATGAATTTTTGCCTGAGAAAATTAAAACATAAGATGGAAAAGAAGATACAATTATGGTGTGATTGTGCAACAATTGAAAAATATTTAGCAGAAGGAATTGTTCCCAGATGCTTGAGGTGGGATGTACCACCTAATGATGATCTTTCAGACAATGAATCTATGGAGGAATGTTTTTTGTTTTTTAATAATAGTGGATTAGAGTTGCTTAAGTTACTAAGGAAAAGGAAACAAAGGAAACTTGGCAAATTAAATGGGGAGATAGAAGAACTAAGGGGAAAGTTTAACCCCTTACAGGAAAATAGGGATTACATTATGACATCTAATGAATGAAAAGATTCCCTTCAACAAACAGACCAGGAAGTGAGAAATATTAAAAGCAAAAAATATAAAATCGGGATAGAAATGATTACTTGGCCAAATAGGTTTTTAAATGGCAAGTACAAATCTCTGAAGAGGGTGAGCCAATGTCGGCTAATGCGTCCCCTGAGAGAGGGAAAGCTCCACTAATTACTTCCAGGGAGGCTATACTAGCCCAAGATGTTGCAAGACAAACACAAACTGAAGGACATGAGGACACTTATAGAGGGAGAATGCAGAGATCCTTCCCATTGGCTCCAAGGGGAGGTCAGAGAAGAGGTTGGAACAGAAACCCCCCACGAGCAACATGGAGTCAGGGGGGAAGGGGGAGTAGTAATAGATGGGACCCAGATTATGAGATGCAAAATAATTGGACTTCCCATATTGACAGAGATTCTGACTTTGAAATTCCTACACGTAATCGTTTTACCCCATTAAACCAAGATGATGCCAATAGAGATAGGGTTTTTTTAGGGAGGAAACCCCGGTTCCAACGGGACTGGCAACGAGAGGCACCACAAAGAGACAGAATGAATATGGAAGAAAGAGGGGATGTAGATCAGGTCGACAACACAGGATAAAGAAAGAGGTTTTAGGGGAAGGTATTATTAATTTGAGTTCTACAATCCTTAGTAAAGAAGAAATGTTGGTGTTTGACAAAGGGCTTAAATATGCACCCAATAAGCCCCTCAACAAGTTTGACGCCTACATCTCTATTAATAAGTTCACTTGCAAACTATGTATAAAAAAAAACATTTTCTAAAGGAATCCAGTATCTCCTAAGATTTTGGAAACTCAGTGAATTCAGACATACCACACTGACCAACAAATCAACATTTAACCCAGCCCCTCATAACACCAAATATGATAGTCAGAGATTTGGAAAAACTGAAATTGAAACCATCTAGACATCCACAACATCTGAATAAAGGGATTAGAGAACTGGAGAAGGATACGAATATCATAGTCAGACCTGCTGACAATGGCGGAGCATTGTCATTTTGAATAAAGTAGATTAGAAGAACGAAATGGCTCGTTTACTAGCAGATGGGGACACATATGAGGTTTTATCTAAAGACCCCACAATACATTTTTAGAGAGAACTAGACCGGTTAGTGAAGGAGAGGGCGAAATTGTGATATCCTGACAAAAAAGGAAAGTAGATTTTTAGCACCATTGGAATGTAGTATTCCAATCATCTATTATTTACCAAAGATCCACAAGAATTTACATCCTCCCTCTGGCAAGCCAATAGTGAATGGTATAGGGTCTGTCACTAACAGATTAGGGGCATATGTTGATTTTTTCCTGCAACCACTCATCCAGAGAAATGAGGCATATCTACGAGACACTAAACACTTTATTCAAACTGTGGAGGGCCTCCCTTTTGACTCTCACTGTTTTTTGGTTACAGCAGATGTCGCCTTTTTGTACACTATTATTAATCATCTAGATGCATTATCTTCTGTTCAGTGGCTGTTGGAGATGGATAATACCATTCCAAAATGAAAAAAATAATTTTTGCTAGAAGCGTTGCGGTTCGGATTAGAAAGAAACTATTTTTGGTTCGATGACACATTCTACACACAAAAGACTGGTGTGGCTATGGGGCTAAATTTGCCCCCAGTGTGGAAAACTGCTTTATGTGGAAAAGGGAGGAGACAATCTTAGACAATAAACCCAGAGAATTGATCATCTATAAACGCTACATTGATGACATATTCATGATTTGGAAGAGAGAAAGAGGTGGATTGGAAAATTTCAGGTCCTATCTAAATAGAAATTCTAAAAATATTTGTCTCTCATACCACATTGAGCAACACAAATTAATTTTTTTGGATGTTGAAGTTTTTTCTGAGGAACAACAGTTAATGGTGAAGTCTTTTTTCAAAGATACTGACAGAAATGGATATCTCCCCACATCCAGCTGCCATCATCCATCATGCATATATAATATCCCTAGAGGGCAGTTTGTAAGGATGCGACGTAATTGCACAAAAGACTTGCATTTTGAAGAACAATCTAAAGTACTTAAGAATAGATTCCTAAAGAAAGGTTTTTAGATGCAGAATGCAAAAAAGTGGCGAGAATGGACCGTAACTGCAATTCAGCAGAAAGAATAGAAAGAGCCCCCCTTGAGGAAGAAAATACGTTCAATGGAGCCATTATTATGGATTATATTATAAGGACATAGAAAAAAATATTAAAAAACATTGGAATGTACTCAACCTAGATGTTCAGTTATCGGGCATTCTGCCAGACAAACCTAAATTTTTTTACAGGAAGACCACCAGTTTGAAGGAAAGAGTGGTTAAAAGTGCCGTAGATCCTCCCCAAAAGAAAAATGGGTTAATTTTCCCTCGTTGACGGGATTTTATTAATGAAGACATTGCTATGCATGTATGCATACTAAAGGAAATCCTAGAAAAAGAACTAGTTTTGAGCTAACGGTTACGAAAGATACCACAACATTAGAGATTTTATATCATGTGACACAGAAGGGGTCATATATGGGTTACAGCGCCCCTGTGGCCTACAATATATTGGTCGCACCACCCCCGCAAGTTAGCCATTCGTGTAAGAGAACATATATACAACATCAAACGTGGTTTCAAAGATCATTCAGTCTCTCTACATTTAAAAAAATTTCATAATAAGAACCCCATAGGCTTACGATTTTGGGGTATCAAACGAGCTAAGAAAAATTGGAGGGGAGGGAACTGGAAAAGAAGTTTATCTAAAAGGGAATCCGAGTGGATCTTTAGAGCTAAAACATTAGTCCCCAAAGGTCTCAACATAGGTTTCGACCTAAACGGTTTAATTGCGGATACATACATTTCAGTCTAAATTTTAATGGAGGGAGTATGATTTCTGCCTTTATTGTTTTAGTTTACATGAATCTTGATTTCATAAAAAGGGGGAGGGGTTCCTCATTTATCTAAACAGGGACCATCTGGGATTTGATATGGGCGTTCATAGATATAATTTGCCATACAGGTTGTGATTCATCCACCTTATGTGATGGGTGGCTCTTTCACAATCTTACCCCTTCTTTCACATCATTCCTTTGGTGTTTTTCATCAATACCCTTATTCTTGTTATCGCATGGGTTTTAAGATGAGATATTTTAATATTTAATTAATTGTTTATATGATGAACTACGTGATGACAATCCCTTTGTCAGTTCACTTTATCTTGTTTAAATATGGGGGTTTTCACCCCTTATTATTTGGGAGCTCACGAGTTGTGACAGGTCACATTTGTTCATATAGGGACTCACCCAGTTGTATTCACCTAATAGGATTTATTTAGTTTCTCTGGACAGGATCAGTTCATATCATGCCTTAGAAGAAGATGCCCTCATAGTATTCCTTCTAGAGGTTTTTTCACATGGCATGCAATGAATAACAGGAAGCAATATAGTATACTACAGCACTAGTAAGATTTCACCATTCATGTATCACCCTGTC